GGAAGATCAACCAATTCCCATGTGTGATTTTGTAGGATAGAATCCACCTCGCTTTTGATGACTTCTTTCCACATCTATCCTTCTGTAGACGTTACGGCTTCCGTATAAGTCCGTGGCTCATTTTCTACCAAACATGTTAGAAAATCCGGTTCATTTTCTACCATACAAGTTAGAATATTCGAATCGAATTCTACTAGGTATGTGAGAAAATCCGGTCCGAAGGATTTTTCAACTCTAGCACGTTTGCTACGCCGGGGTTCGGGTTCTTCACCAGATCCCTCGCTAGTATTTTCCATAGCTACGTCAAATGTTCGTTTTGACGTGCTAGGCCCTTCGTTGGACTTGCATGGAAATACATCTTCAAAGAATGAAGCATTCCTTGATTCAATTATTGTGTTTTTATGGACATCCGGATTATTCGAATCGTACACTAAAAACCGATAGGCACTACTATTTTGTGCATACCCAATAAAAATACAATCCACCGTTTTTGGACCTATTTTTTTTTTCTTAGATGTTGGTACAAGCACCTTAGCAAGACACCCCCACACTTTTAAATATTGATAGGAAGACCGTCTGCCTTTCCACAACTCGTACGGAGTTTTATCATATTTTTTCCGGGGAACCTTATTTAAAAGGTAATTGCTTGTCAAGATTGCTTCGCCCCACATATTTTGTGGCAAACCCGAACTTACTAGCATCGCGTTCATCATATCTTTCAATGTGCGATTCTTTCGTTCGGCAACAGCGTTTGATTGAGGTGAATAGGGTGTGGTACGTTCGTGTACTATACCCACACTAGCACAAAAGTCACCAATTGGTGCTTCATACTCACCACCTCTATCACTGATAACCGTCTTAATCCGTCGATTAAGTTGGTTTTCCACTTCATTCTTATAAAGAATGAATTTATCGATTGCTTCGTGTTTATTTTTTAATAAATAAACGTAGCTATAGCGTGTGCTATCATCGACAAAGGTAATAAAATATTTATTACCGCCACGTGTTTGTATTGATTTAAAATCACAAACGTCACTATGAATTAATTCAAGTGGTTCCGTTTTTCTTTCAACCGATTTGAAAGACGTTTTCGTTAGTTTTGCCTCTACACAAACTTCACATTTGTGCTTCACATCAATTGTGAATTTAGGATTGTGCTCCATGTTAATTAATCTACGTATAGAATTAAAATTAACATGTCCTAGTCTACCATGCCACACATTGGAAGACTCAAGCAAGTAAGCAGAAGGGATTTTATTATTATTAATAATAGTCATTACATTGAGCTTAAAAAGCCCATCACATGTATACCCCTTGCCCACATACATTCCCGACTTAGACAAAACCAGTTTGTCCAACTCAAAAACCATGCGGAAGCCATGCTTGTTCAACAACGAACCGGAAATCAGGTTTTTGCGTATTTCCGGAACAAACAGCACTTGGTTGAGAGTCGGCTCTTTGCCCGAAGTCATCTTCAGGACCACCTTGCCCACGCCTTCAACCGCGGAATGAGCCGAGTTACCCATCCACACTTTCTCACCATTTGATGGCTCAAAAGTTGTGAATAACTCCCGGTTTGAGCAAATGTGCCGGGTTGCACCGGTGTCCACAAACCACTCCTTGGAATTGGATCCAACGAGGTTGACTTCCGTAACCACAGCCGCTAGGATGATGTCTTCATCCTTTTGCCCACCTTGCACCAAATTGACTAGGGAGTCTTTCTTCTTCCGTGGTGCCTTGCAATCCGAGGACTTGTGTCCATTCTTGTTGCAATTGAAGCATTTTCCGTTGAACTTTGTCTTGGAAACGCCTCCCTTGGGACCGAGCTTGCTCTTCCCATTATTTTTATTTTTGGAGCCTTTAGCATGCTCCACCACGTTGGCCTTGGTGCCATGAACAATTGGAAGTTTCCCATCGTTCTTCCGGTTATCCTCTTCAATCCGCAGACGGAGGATCAATTGCTCCAAGTTCATTTCCTTTCGCTTATGTTTAAGGTAGTTCTTGAAATCCTTCCAAGCCGGCGGCAATAAATGGATAATTGACGCCACTTGGAAAGACTCGCTAACCGTCATTCCTTCATCTCGAATTTCGTTGAAGATCATTTGCATTTCTTCAACTTGACTCAAGACCGTCTTCGAATCCACCATTTTAAAATCAAGGAATCGACCGACAACAAATTTCTTTGCACCGGCATCCTCGCTCTTATATTTGTGGTCCAAAGCATTCCATAGCTCCTTAGCCGTAGCTAATTTACTATACACGTCGTACAGAGCATCATGCAGCCCGTTCAACACGTAGTTTCCACAAAGGAAGTCAGAATGCTTCCAAGCCTCAACCGCGTTGAAAGATTGCGCATCCACCTCACCCCCGGTTACTACCGGCGCATCCTCGGTCAAGAAACGTGCAAGACCGAGAGTAGTGAGATAGAAGAGCATCTTTTGCTGCCACCTCTTGAAGTTTAACCCATTAAATTTTTCGGGTTTGTCCACAGAGTTGCTCGGCACGGTCACCATAGGGATAGCCCTTTGGTTAACCAAAGCAGATGCACCGCGTTGTGAACTATTGTTCACCGGAGCTCCGCTTTCAGAGTGATTATCGTTCAAACCGTTCAAAGCATTCTTCCCAACAACATTTTCATTTTCTTGAGAAGTCATTTTTCGTTTCATACGTGATTCGAAAGCACAAAAAAACAAGTTCGTTCACCAAGGTGACAAACTACAAGTTTTAAGATTGTTTACTGTAGTAGAACAATCACTGAATACGTTTTAAGATTGTTGGGTGTGTTTTGGAAAACAAAGAAAATTAATTAAATAAAATGACTTAAAGAAAAACAAGAAATGAGATGAAGCAGAATAGGCCAAAGCTCGTGCTACGCACGATTTCCTTAAAACGTATTCGTTGCTTCCCAAGGTGCTAGGAGCGTTGCAACGATCGTTTCCGGAAGAACAAAAATTAACGTTATCTTTAGAATATAGATTTTCGGACGGCATTCGTGTGTGCAGGTCGCCCGCACACGCAAGTCGCGGTTTTTGTTCTCCGGTTTCGGGATTTGATTCGCACCCCCCCCCTGCGCGCGTGAGAGAGCCTTTCCCTTTAGGAATCTTAACTTCTTAAGGGGGTTTCCCTTTATAAAGGGTTCAAATTCCATTGTGATTTTCGGTGTGGGAAAGAACCCACACTAAAACCCACATTTTCCTAGTTTTCTCCATTCCAACGGGTAAACTTCGAAAAACAATTTCTCATTCACCCGTTATCCGTTTTGAGTGTACCATATATCGAATTGTAGCCCTTAGCAAGGACAATCCGAAACCACTTTGATCCGACCCAAATCGGAAGTGGACCCCACTCAAATAATTGCCCCAAAATGACCATTTAATACACTTTTAACACACTTTTTCCAACACTAATTGCATTGATAAGTTCAGGGCTCCTATGAGATACATAAAAAATTCTCCTAACAAGTGAATGACTTTTTATCAACAAGTGGAGAAGTTAAAAATTAACTGCACTTTGTCCTTGGTTCTTGATTGCCTTACTAGATGGAATTCGACATATGTTATGTTGGATACAGTTTTGAAGTACAAAGATGGTTTTGTGAGGGTGGATCTTCCTAGGGAGTTGGAAGATATGAGAAGTTTGGGATCAATTAGTGATGCAGATTGGGAGATGCTTAAATGTTTTGTTGTTTTTCTTAAGGAATTTAATGTGTGACAAAAAATGTGTCGGGATCTTTATATGTCACGAGTAACACTCTTTAATTCCATATATGTCATACACTTGATTTGTTAAAAAAAACGTTGTGCTAATGATCAAATTGCTTGAATGATATGACATCTAAAATGAAATCAAAGTATGACAAATATTATAGTGAACAAGTTGATATACGTGGGTATTGTTCTTGACCCAAACTTCAAGTTGATTGGTGTGACGATTACTCTTGTTGATACTTAGAGCATCTCCAATGCTATAATGTGCACGGTGCACATGTAGCATGAAACATGACCACATTAATATTAGCAAATAAATTATCTCTCTCCTTATTTGAATGATTTTATATAATTTTGGTAAATTTTCCCCTGCAATGTCAATTACAATGTCAACATCTAGACGGTCTCCTTGACATTGTGGAGAAAAACTTACAAAAACTGCATAAAACCATTCAAATGAGGAGATAAAGAATTAATTAACTAATATTTATGTGGCTATCTGTCATGCCACATGTGCAGTGTGGACATTGTAGCATTGGAGATGCTCTTAGGGTGAAGAAAATGCACAACCGTTATTTGAAAAGACTAAGAAATGTGATTATGATTTGTATGAGTATTGAATTGTTTTTGTTCCTCCAGTTGTGATTGATGAGAGCGGGGTAAGTAGTAACTCAAGAGCAATTTCTTTAACGGATGGTTCTACTACTTTGATGAATCTTGTGAAAGACTGAGTGAAGCAAATGAGTGGATCACACCATTACTCAAGAAGTGATTTTGATCGTTACCTTGATGAAGAAAGAGGAGATTAGGAAGAGAAAGATGTTTTGACTTGGTGAAAATTAAACAGTCCTAGATTTCCGACAATAGCACGTATGGCTCGTGATATATTAGCAATCTCGATATCAACTGTAGCATCAAAGTCTGCATTTAGTGTGGGAGGGCATACTCTAGATCAACTTAGGAGTTAGGAGCTCATCGACTCCCAAGGTTATTTAATGTTAACATCTCAATCACCTCAATTTTTTAAAAAGCTAATGATTCTTTATCCTTGATTTTTATTGTTTTCCAAAAAGATGGTACAAGCTCTTATTTGAGATCAAGATTGGATCGAAATCAAGGATAAATATGGAAGAAATTTTACTAGTATTGCACAAACTTGTTAAAAAGCGCTATCAAGCGTCTGTGCGTGAGAAATCTGCACTTTCCCATCGCTTTTTCGAAGCTCGCCTACGAGATAAGCAATCTCATTTCATCGCTTTTCACAAAAGGCGGTCTTTTGACCGGTCAACTTACATTTTTAAGTTTTAGCTTTGTTTGCTTTTCACTAGAAGTTAGAGTTATGAGAGTTGTCGACACTTTAGACACTCCGCACACAGCCATAGGTGAAGATTGAAGAAGTAGGAGGTGAAGAAGCCACACGCGAAGAAATGGTCACGGAGTTCGCCCAAACGCCCAGACTTCCCTTCGGGTAGAAATTGCCCTAATGCTGGTGAGCTGCAGGTTGTTGTCTTTCATCCATAGTTTCTTCCGAGTCTGAACATCGTCCCTCACAGCTCACTCATACTCTCTTTTTTAGTTTGATGCCTTTCCTTATTACAGAGAACATCATCCACCTTCTATCTGTTTCAGGCTTAGTTTTTTTAATTTGAGAGGAGAGAGACAATAACTAAATAATGAAGTAAATGGGGTTGGCAACTTGTAGTTGGAATCTGTTGAAACTTTCATCCACAAAAAGTAATTTCTCATTCTAATTTGTCTAATTCATACTAATATATGATATATTATCTATAAAATACTCCTAATTCATACTAATATATGATCTATTATCTATAAAATATTCCATGTTATTGTGCAAGTCTCAATTGCTCTTTTTGCACTTGCTTGATTATAAATTTGTGAATCATGTATTAAGTCAGGATCCTGCATGGGAGCATGATTAAGGGTCACGCCAAACGATTACACACGTGTGCAATGCATATATCGTCACAAACAGTGGCGAACCCAGAAACTCAGAATCACGGGGTCCTTTTAGTAATGTAACTCGAATTAATAAAAAATTAATAAAAAGAAGAAGTAAAATATTAAAATAGCATAACGTTTCATATTTAACATATACAACAATTTTAAAGATATTCCAAAATTTTAAAGAAATGTCCACTATCAACTAGAGCTCGTTTGGTAACACTGAAATCGGCTGAATCGGCTGATTCTACTTAAATTTATGAAGTTCTGACTGAAGTGACTGTATTGGCTGTTTCTGCTGATTATGAAAAAAATAATTTAAAATATATTATATTAATAAAATAAAGAAGAAATGATATGAAAAATAGATAAAATGGTATGTACAACAACTTCAGTCAATACAGCCTGAAAAGTAACTTCAACTTTATTTTTCTTATTATTACACAATTCAGCGCGCAAAATCAAAAGTTACATATTTGGTTAAAAAGTCTGTTGATAAGCCTGATAAGCCGAAAAATAGAGTCACTAAACGGGCACTAAAATTTTATAAAGTTAATGTCCTCTATCAACTAAAAAAATGGGCATGCATATGAGAAATCAAATTCAAAAAAGCCTACATTTGAAAATTCCGATCCAATTACTTCGCATTATTCTATTTGGATTTTTATTTAATATATATTCATTAGCTTGTTTCTATTTTAATTTAATACAATTACCAATTTATTTGTGTAACTTTAAGGACTTTGTTATTGGATTGATTTTAGTCTTAGATCAAACCACATCAAGTCAAATTATGCGATTATGGCTCAAGCGATTAAATCTGCTATATTAGGAAAGAATAATATTTAAATTATATGTTATAAGATATGAAAAAAGTCATATGAAAAAGTGGCTAAGATGATGCTCTACGGTAACTTCAGTCATCTCGCCAAAAAAATGTTTTTAACTTTCTTATTTTAATTATTACAAATTCAGTGCGTGAATTCAAGAATTACGTGTTTCATGATGAAATTAGTTTATAAAAAAGATAAGCTGAAATTTGAGGATACATACTGGTTTATAGTAGTAGTATTTCTTATGAAAAAAATTGGGCAATAGAGGTGCATGATAAACAATAGGTGGGCAGGTTGTTCCATAATTTTATTTTCAAAAAGGTGGATGCCAGGGGGAATTGATCCTTGGACCTCTACACGTGTAAAACTCTAAGATTGAATGTCCAACCATTGCTCTAGCTCGGTATTTGTGTTCTAAACCAGTTTCGATTGTATAAATACACTGATTACTTAATTTTATATAAAATATATACAAATATATATAGGTATTTTTTTGGAGGTCCATGGGGTCCCGGGACACCGTGGGACCCTTAGTGGGTCCGCCACTGGTCACAAACAACATCTTGCCGGTGGTTTTAGATGTGTTAAAGGCATGTACTATGTGTCCTGAAGTAGCTTAGTAAGTCGCCACCTCTTGAAGGCTTTTATTAACTACCGTTAAGACCAAACTTGTTAAAAGCGGTAAAAAGCGCCTAAAAGCGACAACGCGCAGGCGAGCGCTAAACCTGCGCCTGGCTTTTGAGAAGTGCAGCGCCATGAGAAAGCGAAGCTTTTCCGACGCTTTTGCTTGAGCTCGGTTAATGAAAAGCGATCGCTTTTCATGGATTCTCACAAAAAGCATTAAATTGACCGGTCAACTTAAAAAAAAAAAATTGGTCTTCTCGTCTCGACGCTACAAGTTAGAGTTATCACGTAAGAGTTGGTCGACTCTTTCTCACTCCAGACATAGCCGCACTCCAGACATAGCTGAAGAAATCGCAGGTGAAGAGGAGTTCTCTCAGGTGACCGTTGTTTCCAAGTCGTGACTCGTAGATGAAGAAGAGTTCTCCCAAACTTTCTCGTCGGTGCTGCGCAGGTTCTATTTCATCATCGTTCTTTAATTTTACAGTTTACTCTGTGATTGTAGTTGGAGCCCTGACTTCCACATCTCACTTTACTCTGTTTCTATCTTACTCTGTAATCTATTTGTATAATAAGCTTCCAAAACATCCTGTATCTTTTTTGGCAAACTAAAAGAGCCTATGTTTTTGTGAAACATGTATATGTAGAATTGTAGACAAAAATGTCTGGAGAACAATCTAAAAGTCAGGATCCTGCATGGGAGCATGGGTTAAGGGTCACGCCAAACGATTACACACGTGTGCGATGCAAATATTGTGATAAAATCACAATTGGGGGTATATATCGTCACAAACAACATCTTGCCGGTGGCTTTAAATGTGTTAAGGCATGTCCTAAGTGTCCACAAGAAGTTAGAGTTGTCGTGAAGGAGCTTCTTGATAACAAAAGTAAAAGAAAAGAAGATATGAGAGAGAACTTTTCCACCCATGATTATGATGATGATGTTGAAGAGCTGGAGCTTGGAGATGCTATGAGCAAAGCATCATCAACCAAAGGGCCCATGAATTTGTATTTCAAAACGCTTTCAAAAGAACATGGAACTTTGAAGAGGGCAAGAAGGGCAGAAGTAACTCTAGCATCTTGCAAGAAAGAGTTAAGGGAAATGGTTGTTGGTGCATTTGCACGATGGATGTATGAAGCTGGATTGCCCTTTAACTATGTCAATTACAAGACATTACAAAGTTTCATTGATGTTGTCGCGCAACATGGACCCAGGATGAAAGCTCCTACTTATCATGAAGTTCGAGTGCCATATCTTAAAAAGGAAGTAAAGCATGTGAAGGAGCTTTTAAAACCACATGAGGATAATTGCAAGCAATATGGTTGTTCATTGATGATGGATAAGTGGACTGATAGAAGGAATCACGCTTATATCAATGTGTTAGTTAATTGTTCACTTGGGTCTTATTTTATCCAATCAGTTGAAGTAAGCTTGGACATTGTGAATAGAGAGAAGATGCTTGAGCTCTTTGAACTCTTTGTGAATAGAGTTGGAGGGGAAAATGTTGTTCAAATTATATCAGACAACGCTTCTGAAAATGTCAAAGCTGGTAAGTTTATTTTATACTTAAACTCATAATCTCTAATATATAATTTAGGTAAAATTAATTATTCTTTTCATTTTTTTATCGTTTAGGCAAGGATTTAATGGAGAAGTACCCGACAAATTATTGGATGTTGTGTGCTGCTCATTGCATCAATTTGATGTTCAAAGACATATTTGAGCTTAAGCACTTTCAGACAACCTATAAAAGAGCTCTGAAATTGTCGATCTACATCCATTCAAAAACAAAATTGCTGAACTTGTTTAGGAAATTCACCGGGAAGAGAGAGTTGGTGAAGTTTGCTAAGACAAGATTTGCCACAGCTTTCTTGACATTCAAGAGGTTAAAGGAGCACAACAATAAGTTGATTACGCTTTTCAATTGTGAGGAGTTCCTAACGAGCAACTATTCCAAAGAAGAGGCTGCAAAGGAGTGTGGTAGAATTGTCCAGATGTCGTCCTTTTAGAACACACTTCATGAGGCACTGAAAGTTGGAGGAGTGAAGCCGGCTATGGGATATGTCTATCCTGCAATGGAATTGACAAAAGCAGCAATAGCCAAAGCCTTCAACAACAACCAATCCAAGTACAAGAAAGTGTTTGACATAATAGACACGAGATGGACTTCTCAACTTCGTCAGTCGTTGCACGCAGCTGCTTTTTTCTTGAATCCGGATTTTTTTCGATTTCCAGGTGAGTCACAAGTATCTTCTACCATAAATTTAGCTGAAGTGGTGAGTGGGTTTTATGAATGTTTGGAGAGGTTGGTTCCAAATGAAGAACTTCAAGCAAAAAATGTTAGTGAGGTACTAAGGTGTCCATTTGGGAATTAGGACACGGACTATTTAGCAGTTTGATGACCCGCTTTCGCGGCGTTGTAGTAAAACGGAGTTTAACCCTTCCGTATGGAAAAGTTTATCCCCGAGTATCGTGTCTCTGAGAAGTGGCGGAGGGAAATGTTGGTTTCAATATCGGTCACTGGTTAGTACGAGTCGTTGCAAGCTTTCTCAAACGATTAATTGTTATAATAATTAAGCAAATAAAAATAAACAACAAAAGTAGTAATGAAGAATTTAATTAAACGGCATTAATGAGTAAACTAAAACTAGTGAACATGCAAAATAACTTGAGAGAGAATATTAACTATTAAAAAATATTAAACTAGCAAACATGTGGATGAGTAAAGTTTCAAAAATAAAATACTTAAAAGGTAAATTTAATGTGACTAATAACGAAAAATTAACTAATTAAAAGTGGGATCTAGATTTGGAATTAAGGATCTTGGGTGTCTTTGGATTATGAACAAAAAAAAGGAATAATTTCTCCAATCTAAGAATAGTGACATTAATTCTCATAGACAAGAACTTGATTTTAATTCCCCTAACATGTCCGAGTTTTTTCCCATGGAGGGGTGTTTTTCAAACTTATTTCCCAAACTAAGGTACTTTTAAACTTATTTCTAGACTTAGTTTAGGGTGTGTGAGATGTGAGCTAAATTAATTCTACACTCATAGACAAGCACGAATTAATTTTCCAAACATTCACAAGTGAAGTGATCACTTTCACAAATTACTCTTTCAATTTCATCTCAAACAACTAGTCCTAAAAATTGGAGAAACTTCCTAAATTTAATTCAATATTCGAGAGTTTCTTCTCCACGGATCAGCCCCACTTTTTTTGGTCTGTTCTCCACTTTTTTCCAACTTGAGAGATAACTTGAGAGATATTTGAAACTAATGAAGTAAAAGAACAAGTTCGTGAGCTGAAATAAACATGATTATAATAGCATAAAACCTTAAAGATACAAATCGAAAGAGGATAAAGAGGGGTAAACCGAAGTTTCCGTGGTTGCGATCCTTCTCCTTTTCTAGCTATTCTGCTCGTGAGTTTCTTCTCCACGGATCAGCCCCGCTTTTTTTGGTCTGTTCTCCACTTTTTTCCTTTTGCTATGCCTATTTATTTTGAGTTGAGAGTTCTGGTTTTTGCCCTGCGGCCAAGAGCTCCGGCCATCAATTGTTTGTGTGGCTGGTTGACTTTTTCCCCGCAGGTGGCTTCTTTTTTTTTTCTTCCAACTTGTCCCTGGTTTTTTTTTGCAGCTATCAAGCTGTCTTTTATTTTGATTTGGCCGCAGCATGTGCTTCTGCCTTCTTCCTTGTCTTGCATTTTATTTTGTTTTAGTTTTCTTTTGTTTGGTTATCTTTTTTTTTTTGAACGCAGCCTAGCTGCAATTATTTGACCTTCTTCTTTTTTTTCTTTTGATTAATGTACTTTAAATATCTTATTGAAATATAATAGAATGCTAAATTTGACAAATCCAAAATAAAAATAACACAAATAAGAAAAAAAAAATCAAATCAATCCAAACACTTGAATTAAACACAAATTACTAGAAAAACATAAATTTCGACACTAATTTCAAACATTAATAAAAATGCAACAAAAACGCAGAAAAATGTAACGTTTTGCTCCGAGTTTGACAAGAAATGCTATAAAAAGTGAGTGAAAATATATGAACAAATCAGACTTATCACAGTTCATTTGCGAAGAAATAACGAGGCATTAAACCCTCAGGTTAATATCTATTCATCAATTTATATTATTTAAAAATATTATTACAATTTAGAGTGGCTTTAACATTTTAAATTCATTTTATAGTTGATTGGTGGACATCTTTTGGTGCCAGTGCTCCCCATTTAAAAGAACTTGCAATTAAGCTTCTCAACTTAACAACAAGTGCATCGGGATGTGAGAGGAACTGGAGTGTATTTGAACATGTAAGAATAGTTATTCTAATGCAAGGGTGCAGGTCAATTTCAATTTTCACATTCATTTGACTGACTGAAAAATTTTAATTACTTAACAGTTGCATTCGAAGAGGAGAAGTCGTCTCGAATACAACTGCCTCAATGATTTGGTATTTGTTAAGTACAATAGGGCTTTGAGACGTCGTTGGGAAATGCGTGATTCTATAGATCATATTGCTTGGATTACATAGACATGGCAAATGAATGGTTGACCGGTGCAGTTTAATATGCAAATGAAGAGTTGGTCTTTGATGACGAAGATGATTTGACCTGGGGAGATGTTGCGAAGTTTTCTGGTGTACATGATACGTCATATTCTCTTAGACGCAATTCTAAAGGGAAAGATAAAGCAGAAAGTTCCAAGTCCAAGAGAAAAGAAAAAGCCTCCACCCGTAGACTTGTTGATGAAGATGAGTACGAAGATGAGGAGGATGCTAGAGTCTATGGTGATGATAGTGAGGACTTTAATACTTTAGTTATGGGTGCAGAAGAACAAGGCCAGTTTGATGACGAGGAGGATGAGACGATGGAATGATGAAGATTCTAAGAACCGTTTTTAATGAAACTATGACATTATATGATGAATGTTTTTATCTATATGCCGCACTAGTATTACTCTTATGACTTTTATGATTAGTTATGTGTTTTTTCGTAATTGTGTGATGAAGATTTTAAAACTTTAGGTCGCACTAGTATTATTTAAATTCGTAATATTTAATAAAACAAATTAGTCCATAAAATTTATTTATTTATTTATTTATTTATTTTATTAAATACTATCGTATTACTTACCAGAATATACTCTTAGACTGATGAGGTCATGTATTGAGAAAGTGGATGAGTTTAGTCATACCTAGTTTTAATTTTTTTCTTAATATAATTAATAATAATAATAACAATCACGCTCATTTTCTTATTTAATTTTATCAACTCATATGTATATAATTGATTATTTGATTCTCTCTCATATACTACTTCGTACGTATTATTTAGGCCGTACATTTGATTTTATATTATTTATAACTCATATGTGTATAATTGATTATTTGATTCTCTCTCATATACTACTTCGTACGTATTATTTAGGCCGTACATTTGATTTTATATTATTTATTTATAATTTTTATGTGTATATGTACATATATGTATATTTAAAAAAGTAGATTAGGTACTTAAATTTTAAGAATGACTGTATTGTTCCAAAATGTTTAAAATTATGAGATGTTTTGAATTAATTAGCTTCCGTCAAAGTTAACGGCAAATTTAACAGAAGGACTCGATTAATATAGATGAAATAGATTAAGGGCTAAAATGATATATTTAATACTTCGATGATCAAAACGATATGGTGATGATAATTCAAGGACCATTTATGCATTTTACTCTTTTTTAAATTCACATGATAAATTGTGTAATATTCAAAATAAATAAGTATAGATTTACTTTTCTGATTTACTTTTCTGACTTAATTGATTGAAGTTACTATAGACAACGATCGTAACTATTTTCCCATGTTATATTTTATTAATAAAACATATGTTAAATACGTAGAACTACAATGTTTTTTAAAATTTAACCAATTCAGCTATTTTAATCAGAATTTGACTAATTTCAATGTTATTAAAGGAGCCCAAATGTTGAGTTATACGGTTCAAGTAAGAGGTTATACCTAACTATTGCAGTGGACCAGTAGCATCATGTTCAGGCAGTTCAGCTATGGCATCCCAATCACAGAACTCCTTCAATTTATCTCCCATTTCTATGCCTCTTTCCTTCATCTCCTTCAAAACTACCTTCACATATTCATATCTCCTCCCACGAATCAGCTTCATAGCCAATGTCCCGAAATTCTCGTAATCCAGTTTCGCATCCCTCCCTGCGTAGACCTTGACAAACTCCAGGGCCTGCGCGTGGAAGCCCAGCCGCACCATCGACCCGATAACATGGGCATGAGTTGAATACAACGGCGGCATCCCCTCCTCATCCATTCTTCTCAGTACCTTCAGCGCCACATCTATTCTGGCTGCCCTGCACGCGCCTAAAACCAGCGCGTCGTACGTCCTAGTGTCCGACCCCAGCTTCTCCTCTTCCAATTTTGTTAGAATTCCGGCCGCGGTGTCCAGATCTCCGGCGCAGCAATGTCCGGTGAGAAAGTAGTTGTAGGCCGTGAGATCCGGTCGGACATTCAAGTCCTTCATCACCTCCACCACGCGCCAGGCCTCCTCGAAGTCTCCCCTCTTGATGTGCTCCTTGAGAATAGGGTGGAAAGTGATTGCGTCCGAGCCGTACCCGTTTCGCACTACGATCTCGGCCACGCGCAAGGCCTGGGGCATGTGCCGGAGCTTTGAGAGGCGGGCGACGAGGCAGTCGTGCGCGCTCTTCCTAGCGAATCGCTGGTTTATGCGAGAAAGGGCCACTAGGAGCTCGTCAAGCATGGAGATGTCATGAGTGACGAACTTGAAGGTGTAGTTGGTGTTGAACAAGCCATCTTTTCCTCGCTTCTCAAGGAGGCGTTTGACACCGTCGAAGTCTCCACTCCGGCCGGCGCTGTTGATGAGGTGGTCATATCTCGCCATGCTCAGTGTCTCCGGCGGTTTGCGGGCGACGGACGAGCTTGCGGTACACAAAGCGCGCAGAAATGGGGAACATTTTGGGGTTTTTTGAAGAAACTTGTGCAGAGATAGCATTTGTAAAGGCAACTCTAAAGTCCAAGGGTTGCACTTGGAATTGGAATTGGATAAGTCCTGATTATATTTGACCCAAATCGTAGTTAAATGATGAAGCCCAAATCGTATTAAAATTATCTTTGGTGTGACTTTATTATTTAAAGGTTTTTTTATAGAATTTTATTATGTAAAGGTTGTGAAGTTTGAGTGACGAAATCTAAGATTGTTACGAAATCTAAAGGCCACGTACTAATCGAGAAGGCATTCAAATGAATTTTATTATTTGATTTTGAATTATTTTTACTTGATTCTTATTTTATTAATTTAATATCAATCACATGAACTCATTTTTCATTACAACTGCATCACATGCTCATGTCTAAATGTTAGTGTGATAAATGTAGTGCATTATTTAGAGTTAAATTTAAAATCATAAGGTGCAAAAGTGGAGTACATTATGAGTAAATTGGTAAAGTCCAGTACTAGTATAAGAGAAAAAGTGTTACCCCTTTATTTCAAAATACTCCACTATTTCCTTTTTTGTCACAATATAATTTTAGTTCAGACCATGTGATTCACAATACTTCTTTCTATTCAGTACAACTTTAGATCACACAATTTTCATTTTTTAATCTCATACCAAGTCAAAACAAGAGTTAATTATGAGATGAGGGTAGAGGCATATGTACTATGGGCCTATGGGCCTATGGGGGCAGTGGAGGCAATTGCTCCGTCTCAACCCCCTACCCAACCCCCATATACATGTATATAAAATATAATTTATACACACAAAAGTGATCATTTTGTCTATAATTACAATAAAAAGCACATTTGAAACACGAGCCGAGCTGCGTTAGATGAGTTGGAGCGTAGCCTTGGGCCTAACATCTTGTGTGGATTGAGGTTGTGAGATCAATTCTCTGCAGCTATAGTTTTGTTTTATAATTTCATTTTGCAATCTCAATCTTCACTTTGACAAATAGTTGATATAATTGATATAATATTCTTCACTTTGACAAACAATTGATATAATTTTCACAATGTCTTATTAACTTGGCTCAGTATCATATAATATGTAGTATAATTTTTTCTCTTAATATTATGATTGCTGATTGCACTACAATTTTTTTTGTAAATTTTCAATTTATATTATTCTAAAAACATGCATTACTTGTTTCTTGTTCAATTTATTTTTCTATTAATATAATTTCAATAAAGTACAAGAAATGTTATTAATACGTACGTAGTATTTCTTATTATAAATTGAAATTTTGATCATATAAAATTCTCAAAATAAGAATCTCATTTTCGGACAAAATGAAAAGTTACATATTAATTTTTTGTTGAATAGAAACTCATTATTTTTTGCTTATTCTCAAATATCGTATTTATAATGCAAAATTAGCCCCAACCGAAAATACTTTCTGGATACGCCACTGGATGGGGTTATACTATACTCCATCTGTCTGTTAAGATTATCTAATTTTTCTGAACGTCGTCTCATTCTACTAAGATCGTCTCATACTCAGCATTAAATTTCATAATGTTTATGTAGTTCTATACCGTTCTTCTGGACCTGGACAATTCTTCTCCTTGTTCTATACGGGGGCACCGGCCGATGGAGGACAATTCTTCTCCTTGGCTTCTGGACCGTATTCTAGATCGACTCTTCTTCAGCCGATGGAGGGCCACCTGGCCGAAGGAGGACCCACTGGGTGACAGCTGCGCTTCCTCTTAGTCTTCTGAGCATGTGGGTCATGGGGTCTGGACCCATATACTCCATCAGGAGTCCCCCACTCTCTGAGCTGAGATGATGACGAAGTGAAAGGGAGTAGATCCTTGTCGTTCTGACGCTTTGGCCGACGGAGGGTTACCTGGGAATTGTAGTGTTCCTGGCCGAGGCGGTGCCATAATTGTTGGCTGCCTTGTCCTTCATTTCGAGGACGATGAATGTTCTTCATTCCGAGGACAATGAATGTCCTCCGTTTTGAGGAAGATGGATGACCTTCACTTTGAGGACGATGAGCGTCCTTCGTTTTGAGGACGGTGGATGTCCTTCACCTTGAGGACGATGAGTGTCCTTCGTTTCGAGGACGATGGATGTCCTTCACTTTGAGGACGATGAGGGTCCTGGACCAAAGGACGTTGTGCGCCCTTGGCTCTGTGGGTGAAGAATGTCCTGCCCCTGGAGACGATGCGTGTCGTTGGCCTTGAGGACGAGGAGTGTCCTTGGCTTCAAGGATGATACGTGCCCTTGATCTTTAGGACGATGTGTGTCCTTGACAATGAGGACGATGTGCGTCCTGCTTTGCGCTTCGGCATGGCCGAAGGGTGAACACATGGTTGTTGGATGTTGAGGTACCATTGTCATGGGCTTGTGTTCGTTGGATTTTGAACTTGTTTATCTTTGCGCTGGAGGCCGATGTAGTCCCCCAAACCTTCTTCTGGCCGATGGAGACATGGCCGACGGAGGTACCACTTGGTAGTCCTTGCTTGTTGTTGCTTTCTGGATGTTTTCATGTATGTGGAGGCCGATGTAGTCCCCCAGTCCCCTAGTCCTCGAGGCTCATGTAGTGAGGTGAAGAGGAGTAGAGCAACGAACGTCTTCAAATAGGGGGGCGAGGGTCGACACCTTTTGATCCACAATGGGACGATGCCTCGTTAAAAACCTCATTAGGAAAAAACAATGTGGGAAAACCCTTCGGCCGGGATGTGTAACTGTAGCGGTGTCCGTCTTCTGAGGGATGTCCGTCTGCTGGTGAGGACGACGGTGGTGATGAGCCGTGCGTCGCATGAAGGCGAGGGTCGTCATCCAGGAAGGGAATGGCGAGCCCGCTTGCTAGCTCAAGACTCTCGGCGCTGAGGAGGCCGGTCTTGAGATAGATAATCACGCCTTGGCCGAGCGGTCGGTCGTGATGTGATGAAGGGCAAGGCGTTGACGCCAGACTGAACATGACGTCGGCGAAGCCGTTCTGGTGATGAGGGACGGCGTTGGGTGCTCGTCTAAATGTGAGGGATGGCGTTGGGCGCTCATCTGAAGATGAGGGATGGCGCTGGGCGCTCGTCTGAAGATGAGGGACGGCACTGGGCGCTCGTCTGAAGATGAGGGACGGCACTGGGCGCTCGTCTGAAGATGAGGGACGGCGCTAGGCGCTCGTCCCCTGATGACGATGGTGCTGGTGAAGCCGTTCGTCATATGAAAGATGACGTTGGACGCATGTCCTTTGATAGCGACAGCGTTGATGAAGCCGTTCGTCATATGAAGGACCAGGCTCTGACCCTGGCTTGAAGATGAAGGGCGGCGCTGGACGCACGTCCCTTGATGATGAAGGCGTTGATGAAGCCGCTCGTCATATGAAAGACGACGTTGGACGCACCTCCTTTGATGACGACGGCGTTGATGAAGCCGTCCATCATATGAAGGACCAAGCTCTGACCCTGGCTTGAAAATGAAGGGCAGCGCTGGACGCACGTCCCTTGATGACGATGGCGTTGATGAAGTCGTACGTCATATGAAGGACCAGGCTTTGACGTCGGTCTGAAGATGAAGGACGGCGTTGATGAAGCCCGTCCTTTGATGAAGCATAACGTTTGATGCCAGAAGATGAAGGATCACGTTGAGACCGAGGGGTCTGCCGTGATCTGAGGATGACGGCGCTCATGAAGCCCGCTCGTTGTATGAAGGTGAGGGTCGCCATCCAGGAAGGGAATGGCGAGCCCGCTCGCTAGCTCAAGACGCTCGGCGCTGAGGAGGCCGGTCTTGAGATGAAGGATCACGTTGAGACCGAGGGGTCTGTCTTGATCTGAGCACGACGGCGCTGATGAAGTCGCTCGTCGTATGAAGGTGAGGGTCTCCATCCAGGAAGGGAAGGGCGAGCCCGCTCGCTAGCCCAAGATGCTCGGCACTGAGGAAGCCGGTCTTGAGATAAATAATCACGCCTTGGCCGAGGGGCCGGCCGCGATGTGAGGACGACGGCGCTGATGAAGCCACTCATCGTATGAAGGCGAGGGTCGCCATCCAGGAAGGGAATGGCGAGCCCACTCGCTAGCTCAAGACACTCGGCGCTAAGGAGGCCGGTCTTGAGATGAAGGATCACGTTGAGACCGAGGGGTCTGCCGTGATCTGAGGATGACGGCGCTAATGAAGCCGCTCGTTGTATGAAGGCGAGGGTCGCCATCCAGGAAGGAAATGGCAAGCCCGCTCGCTAGCTCAAGACGCTCGGCGCTGAGGAGGCCGGTCTTGAGATGAAGGATCACGTTCAGACCGAGGGGTCTGCCGTGATCTGAGGACGACGACGCTGATGAAGCCGCTCGTCGTATGAAGGCGAGGGTCGCCATCCAGGAAGGGAATGGCGAGCCCACTCGCTAGCCCAAGACGCTCGGCGCTGAGGAGGCCAGTCTTGAGATGAAGGATCACGTTGAGACCTAGGGGTCTGCCGTGATCTGAGGACGACGGCGCTGATGAAGCCGCTCGTCGTATGAAGGCGAGGGTCGCTATCCAGGAAGGGAATGGCGAGCCCGCTCGCTAGCCCAAGATGCTCGGCGCTGAGGAAGCCGATCTTGAGATGAAAGATCACGTTGATACCGAGCGGTCTGCCGTGATCTGAGGACGGCAGTGCTGATGAAGCCGCTCGTCGTATGAAGGCAAGGGTCGCTATCCAGGAAGGGAATGGTGAGCCCGCTCGCTAGCCCAAGACGCTCGGCGCTGAGTAGGCCGGTCTTGAGATGAAGGATCACGTTGAGACCGAGGGGTCTGCCGTGATCTGAGGATGATGGCGCTGATGAAGCCGATACTCGTATGAAGGCGAGGGTCGCCATCCAGGAAGGGAATGGCGAGCCCGCTCGCTAGCCCAAGACGCTCGGCGCTGAGGAAGCCGGTCTCGAGATGAAGGATCACGTTGAGACCGAGGGGTCTGCCGTGATCTGAGGATGACGGTGCTGATGAAGCCAGTCGTCTAAAGATGGAGGGTGGCGCTAGGCGCCTGTCCTCTGAGGATGACAGTGTCGATGAGCCTGTTTGAAAATGAAGGACGGCATTTGGACGCTCGTCTGAAGATGAGGGACGGCGCTGATGAAGCCGGTCCTTTGCTTAAGGATAAGGCATCGCGTCTGTCTGTAGATGAGGGACGGCGCTGACGCTCGTCTGATCCGCATGTATGGTCTTGCTTCATCCATAATGCATAGTATTTGCCTGATATGTACTTAGCAAAATATGTGGCTTAATTTGTGGGGATTTTATTTTTAGCGCTCGAGGCGTGCGAGTGCGCGGTCCTCGGCTTCCCTCTTTCTATTTGTGG